ATGGGAGGGAGTGGGAAAGTGTGAAAGAAGGGAGGGAAGGAAGGAAGGGCAATGAAGGAGGGAGCAAGATGAAGGAGGGAGGGAGGAGAGGAAGAAAGAAAGAAAAAGAAAAAAGGGTAGGATAGAAGGAAGAAAGGAAGATGGGAGGGAAGAAAGGGAGATAAGGAAAGATAGAAGGAAGGAAAAGAAGGAAGATGGGAGGGAAAGAAGGAAGGACATGGGTGGGAGGGAGGGGGAAGGTGTGAAAGAAAGGTGGGAAGGAAGGACAATGAGAGGGAGGGAGGGAGATGAAGAAAGGAGGGAAGGAGAAGAGAAAGAGAGAGAAGGAAGGAAGGAATCTCTCTTGAAAACTGGAATGAGCCCAGATCAAATCCTTCGAAAGAGTCACATTGCAAATGCCCATCACATCCCTGAATTGTATCCAGCTCTTTCTAAATCAATTGACCGAGGCGCTTTGGAGATTGACTTTGAAAGATTGAACTCCCTTGGAACGGAATCTCTGAGTTTCTGCCAGGGCAGTAATACAACCAGCCTCCTTGCTGGAGTTCAGTAGAAGGAATGTGGAGGGGGCAGGGATTTAAGAGGGACGTCCTTTCCTCCCATCTCAAGGGTTGTGAAGTGTGAAGAAGAACGATGACAAATGGAGACCGGTTCAAGAGTGGTGCGAATCATAGAGTCCGAGGGCTGGAAGGGACCTTGGAGGTCTTCTAGTCCAACCGCCTGCGTATGTCAGGAGTCCTCATAACAATCCTGGACAAATGGGGATGGAACACCCATAACTTGTGGAAGGAAGCCATTCCATTGATTAGTCCTCCTCAGTGCCACAACATGTCCAGGTTTTTCCAATATTTGAGGGGCTGCCATGGAGAAGAGGGCGTCAAGCTGTTTTCCAAAGCACCCGAAGGCCAGACAAGGAAAAATGGATAGAAACTGATCAAAGGGAGATTCAACCTGGAAATAAGGCGGAACTTTCTGACAGTCAGAACAATCATCCAATGGAACAGAAGTTGCCTTCGGAAGTTGTGGGAGCTTCATCCCTGGAGGCTTTCAAGAGGAGACTGGACTGCCATTTGTCAGAAATAGTGTAGGGTCTCCTGCTTGGGTAGGGGGTTGGACTAGATGACCTACAAGGTTCCTTTCAACTCTGTTAATCTGTAACCGATTAGGGGACTGAATGCTAAAGTATACGATGAACAGTTACAGGAACGGGCATGGCTAATCTAGTGAAGAGAAGAATCAGGGGAGACATGATAGAAGACTTCCAATATTTGAGGAGCTGCTACAGAGAGGAGGGGGTCAAGCTATTTTCCAAGGCCAGACAAGGAATAATGGATGGAAAGTGAACAAGGAGAGATTCAACCTGGAAATAAAGAAAGATTTTCTGACAGTGAGAACCATCTACCCATGGAACAGAAGTTGCCTTCAGAAGTTGTGGGATCTTCATCACTGGAGGCTTTCAAGAAGAGATTGGACTGCCATTTCTTGGGGATGGTGTAGGTTCTCCTTCTTGGGTGGGGGATTGGACTAGATGACTTACAAGGTCCCTTCCAACTCTGTTAATCTGAATCTATCTAAGATGATCAAAGGTCTGGAGACTAAAACATACGATGAACGGTTGCAGGAACTGGGCATGGCTAGTCTAGTGAAGAGAAGGATGAGGGGAGACAGGAGAGCATTCTCCCAATATTTGAGGTGCTGCCACAGAAAGGAGGGGGTCAAGCTATTTTCCAAAGCACCTAAAGGCCAGACAAGGAANATAGAGTAGAATAGAATAGAAATGGAATATGAATAGAACAGAAAAGAAAAGAATAGAAAAGAATAGAATAGAATAGAATAGAATAGAAACAACAGAAGAGAGTAGAGTAGAATAGAATAGAATAGAATAGAAATGGAATATGAATAGAATAGAAACAATAGAATAGAATAGAAATGGAATGGAATGGAATATGAATAGAATAAATAGAATAAATAGAATAACAGAGTTGGAAGGGACCTTGGAGGTCTTCTAGTCCAACCCCCCGCTTAGGCAGGAAGCCCTACACCACTACAGACAAATGGTTCTCCAATCTCTTCTTAAAAACTTCCAGTGTTGGAGCATTCACAACTTCCAGAGGCAAGTTGTTTCATTGAGTAATTATTCTGACGGTCAGGAAATTGTTCTAACTATCAGGCTACTAGACCTTGAGCTAAATCAAAAGATGAATCCAGAACACCAAATCGGTGGGAACGCAAAGAGGGGCAACGTGAGCAACTTCATGCTTTAATACCCAGGCATCTTTTCATTTTCTTTCCCTCTATTTCTCGCTTGGTATTCATAAGTAACAATGCGGTGGAGGTTTTAATATTAAGCTCAAGGATTCACCTTCTTTTTTCTTTTCACATCACAAAACAATTCCAGGTGCGTTGCAACTTCTTCAGCATGATCTGTCCATCCTCTCTCCATTTACATCACACCATCATATTTAACCCCGATACATGTTTTCTATTTTCAACTATTTAATGCACTCTCGTCCTTACAGTGCTAATTGCCTCCAGTCCCTGTTGTGTAAATAGCACAGCGCTCGGGTATTATTTGCGTTTTCTAATATAATTTTTTTTTTAAAAAAAGTGGGAGATAAAAGCTCAACAGAGGACCTTACTTAAGCCTTGTGCTTCAGATGAATAGTAGGCAGACCTCTTCGAGTGCTATCTGCTAGATAAAGCCAGGCCGGCCAATGGATGATAGGCAGGGCCCAGAATAGCCATGTAACTGATAAGAAGCATGTTTACAGTCACAATTATCACAACGGCAAGGGATACGGGGCTGTTATCTTTTCCCATTAAAATGACAGGGAAGCCTTTTTCGATAATAGCAAGCTTCCTATTTAGGAAAGACCAAATTCCTGCTGAATACCTCACTTGAATGCAAATTCCTTCCTTTTCTTTCTTTCTTTCTTTTTCTTTCCCTCCCTCCTTCCTTCTTTCCTTTCCTCTTTCCTTCCTTCTTTGCTTCCTTCCTTCCCTCTTTCTTTCTCTTTCTTTCTTTCATTTCTTTCCTTCCCTCCCTCCCTTCTCTCATTTTCCTTCCTTCCCTCCCTTTCTCCTTCCTTCCTTCTTTCCTTTCTTGTTTCTTTCCTCCCTCCCTCCCTTCCTTTTCTTTTTTTCTTTCTTTCTTTTCTTTTTTCCTTTTTCCTCCTTCTTTCCCTCCCTCCTTCCTTGTTTTCCTTCCTTCCAACTTACTTACTTCCTCCCTTTCTTTCATTCATTCTTTCCTTCTCTTTTCTGCCTCCCCTCTTCCTTTTTCCTTCCCTCCCTCTTTCTTTTTCCTTCCTTTGTTCCTTCTTTCTCTCCCTCTCTCCCTCCTTCCTTCTTTTCCTTCCTTCCCTCTTTCTTTCTTTCTTTGTTTCCTTCCCTCTTTCTTTCTTTTTTCTTTCTTTCTTGACATTTTTGAGCCACCCTTCTCCCTCAAAGCGGGACACTGGGCAGTGTACAATAAATAAATAAATTCAAGGTAAACTAACCATCTCAAGGTCGTTTGACATTCCTTGACACAGATTATGGAGTTTGCCGGTTCCCTGTAAGTCATCCAGGCTTTTTGGCTTTAAAGAGGGAATTGAAGGCACACCTGTTTTGACATAGCTGGCACCCAGAAGGTGCATATGCCATACTGAATAGCAATAGCACTTTGACTTCTACACCACTCCACAGGCCTTTACAGCCCTCTCTAAGCAGTTTACAGAGTCAGCCTCTTTCCCCCAACAATCTGGGTCTTCGTTTTACCACCCTCGGAAGGACGGAAGGCTGAGTTAACCTTGAGCTGGTCAGGATCGAACCCCTGGCAGTCGGCAGAATTAGCCTGCAATACCACATTTTAATCACTGTATACCTTGGAAAGAAGGGAAGGAAGGAAGGAAAATAGCACTAGCATTTAGATTTATATACTGCTTCACAGTGCTTTCCACCTTTCTCTAAGCAGTTACCCCCAACAATCTGGGTCCTCATTTTACTGACCTCAGATGGAAGGAAGGCATAGATGATAGATAGATAGATAGATAGATAGATAGATAGATAGATAGATAGATAGATAGATAGATAGATAGATAGATA